CCAACAGCAGCATCGCTGCCAGATAGCGTTGAACCTTGTGGACGATCCGAGGGCGTTCTTCCCGCTCTAGAACTTTCCCACACCGTGCGACCTCTGCAGGACGACACCACACAGTTCAGGTCGCAGATGGGTTCGTTAGAACAATGCCCTGATCTCCAGCATAGCGGGAGTGAAAAGACAACATCCTGTCCAAATGATGCCAACGCTGACACCCTGACCAGGGAGATCCAAGGTCAGTTCACCGTTCCCTGAGGGGTGGGCGATGCACTGAAAAAACACATCACAATATAATGGTTTTGTATCATAGATATTGATAATTTTTGCAGAATTTTTGTTGTTGTTTGTTTTAAATATCTGAAACGCTGCCAAACTGACAATCTGATATTTATTCTTGAGGCGTTGAACTAATTTTTCCCTCAGACTCCAAACCATTCCTTTTATTATTAGGCAGTAATGAGGCGGACATGAAACAGCTGAAGTGCAAGTAACTCAAGAGGTTGTTGCTAGGTAACCAGAAAGAGTATGTAAATCCCTACGGTAATAATCAGTGTAATAATCAGTGTAATAATCAGTGTAATAATCAGTGTACCAGAGCAGAATTTTGTCTTAACAGCAGCAGTAGAAGGAGCTGTGGATGCTCTTACTGGCTACGTCAAAAAATATTAAAAATGATCTGGGCTGAATATTTAGAATATGGTTCCAGGATATTGGAAAATCGTGGAATTTTATTATTGTTAAATATGTCAGAAATAATTGTGCTGCATTTATGTTTTATGTGATTGGTCCATGTGTTCATCACTGCTCCATGCAACAACACGCTGAATATATTGATGACATTCAAAGTGAAAATTCAAACATACTTTGCATTCCAAGCAGTCCTTTGAGATATTATTTGTATCGCAATAATTCAAGTTTTGTAACATATCGTGCTGATCAAGTTAGTGCAACATTTTTACACACATTTAAAAAGATGTTCATTTAGAATCCTGATTAAATGCATGAAGGTTTTTGATGGCAAAATGTTTAGAAGGATAAGGTGGAGGATTCTGCATGTTTGTTCCTCACTGCTGCTTTTTCATTTTTTCTTTTTTTTTTTACCAGACTTCTTGGAAGTCTTCTACAGGCGATATGGCAGCTTCATCCCACTCCATAAGAGTGACGTTTTGAGGCATCTGAAGAGGAAGTTCAACTGTGATTTCAGTGACAGGTGAAGGCCTGAGCTAACCCAAAGTAGCTGCGTTGTGTTGCTAGACAAGACCCTAAAGTCAGCTTGTCTCTACCTCCGCAGGAAAAGCACAATCTTCTCTAAAGTGGACAAATACCGAACCACGATCACCCAGAAATCCGTCCTGTCTTTCCGAGTCGTCTACAAAAAACACGTACTGACTCTGGAGGACTTGTTGACGTTGGCGGATGAGCACTGGCTCAATGACCAGGTTAGCACCGAACACCATAAGACCTTTGGTTTGTTGTGTAGAGTGTGTTGAGCTGTGCTCTAAACCGACGTGTTTTGGGGTGAACTGCAGGTCATGAACATGTACGGAGAGTTGATCATGGAGTCGTCCGATCACAAGGTAACCTACGTTATAATCACAATTATGGCAAAAGAATGATTTTATTGAACAATTACACATAAATCATTCAAAAATATTGTATGGTAAGGCATATTTGTTAATAACTTATCACTATTCACTTGTGATTTTACATTAGCGGAATATTCACAAAGTTTTGCACACATTTGTAATGGAAACGCAGCTAGCGACTTTAGCTCTAACCTATTAACCTACTGGGTTAGCTCAGTTAAATCTTCAGATTAAACTTTACTATGGTTGTTTTGGCTTTCTATTGGTCATTTTTCAGTCTTTGTTTCTGATTAATTTCAGCATGTTTTTTTTCTTGTCTCCACTTGAAGGTCCATTTTCTCAACAGTTTCTTCCACCGTCAGCTCATGACCAAAGGATATGACGGTGTGAGGCGATGGACGAAGCAGGTTAGATATAACGTAAAACGGATCTTCATCAAGTAAATTAAAGAAACGTCCAACACCAACTCAGATATGTGATATTAATCGATTGGGGATGCAAATAGAAAATGTGGATTCTGCAAATAAAAACATGTAAACGGCAGCCGCCCGACTCTGCGGGAGGAAGCTATAAACCACATTCATGGTTTCATTTACTGGGGTGTGTAAATGGGTCTAATCAGACCCAAACACCAGTGCTGCCAATCCAGAAATAGAAGCAGTTTTTGGTACCTTTGGTACCTCTGGCCCAGTACCAAATCCTGTTGGAGGATCAAACCAGCATCTCCATAAAGCTAGCTAGCAGAAGGAAACATGAAGTGTTAAAAATATCCTGGTAGACGTTCATTTTTTTAATTTATTTATTTTATTCAGGCTGTTAGAATAGATTTTCCAACTAATCCAGTCTTCCTGTTTCAGGTGGATTTATTTTCAAAGACTCTTCTCCTGGTGCCCATCCACCTGGAGGTCCACTGGTGTCTGGTTACAGCGGACATTTCCGCCAAGAAAATCTGCCTTTACGATTCTCAAGGACATTCACTCCAGAAGGTTGCAAGGGTAATAAAGCTATTATTTATTCTTATTCTTCTTACAAGGATGTCTTGGTTGGATTGTGGGTCATTTGAGTTGGACTGCATCTGGACGTGTTGCTTTGCTTTGAACAGAACATCCTGAAATACTTGATGTCCGAAGCAAAGGAGAAGAAACAAGCTTCTTTTCAAGACGGCTGGACGGTGTCATTTGTAGAGGTATGAGAAACTGGACCAAGTATGATGTAACCTGAGAGGGCAACTTGAGTTTGACATTTTCACTCGAGTTACACTGACGTGGCAAAAATAAGATCACACCTTTAAAACTTTTTTTTTTTTTTTCATTTTGTCACATTTCAGCCAAAAGCTTGTATGCATTTTATTGTACTTTTATGTGACAGACCAAAGTTTATTAAGCAGTAAGGTAGTCTGAAACTAGTTGGTTAGAATTTGTATTCAATTAAATAAAATTGTGAAAAATATGAAAAAGCTCAAGGGTTGAGAATACCTTTTGAAAGGAGCTGCGCAAAAGTGTTGTCATATTAATGTGCAGCATTACTGAACAGGCTCAGAGATGCTGTATGTGTATCACATTCAAGCAGCCTGAAAAAAAAGTTGTTGCAAGTCTTTAAAGTAAAATGAAAGTCTCCCACAAACAGCTGCAGTGCATGACATTCTACAGAAATATCAGATTCTGAGTTTTTTTTACTTGATGCTTTGTCTCCCCCTTCTGTTCTTCACAGAAAATTCCACAACAGACCAATGAGAACGATTGCGGCGTTTTCGTCTTAGAGGTACGTCTTGCTTTCACGCTTAACACGCTTTTGCTAATTGACGCTTCTTAATACTATTTTTCGCTAAGACTATTATCTGTCACAGGAAAATAGTGCAGAATGTGAAGGAAGTGAAAAATATTGACTGTTGTCACAGTTTTTTTTTAAAGCCTTTTATTTTCTGTCCTTGTTATGCATCTTAAATATTAAAGAATTTTCTGAAATTTTAACTCTTTAAAATCCAGTTTACCCAAACTGAGGGTTCTCAATAATTTGTTGTTGTTTTTTTTAAAACAAACTGTAAATAAATAGTTTCACCTTTTTTGCCAACTGTAGAAAGAAATATTCCATATTAATGTATTTTTCTGAATTCCGTTCTGAATTTCAGTCAGGAGTCCTAATTTTTTTCCCTGCAGTTCAAAAGACATTGGTTGATAGTGTCTGCAAAAAAAAATGTATGCCTGGAAAGAAGAGAATTTAAAGTTGGATTATCCAGAACAGACATAGTTGCATTTTTGTTACCTTAAGCAGCTTTATTTTCATTTGGTTTTCAATAAAATTTCTCCAAACTTTTTTTTTCTAAAACTTGGATCTCATTGGACTTTAGTTCCCAACAATGTTTCCGTCTCGCTTTCAGCAGTCGACAAAAAGTTTAGTGATTCTTGTCTTCGCTTTTTGCCATAAATTTTATTCTGTTTTCTTCCAGTTTAGAAGTAAAAAACTTACCAAAATGTTTTTTCTCATTCAGTTTCTGCATCGACAGTTTTCTTAAAGACTTTTTCACTACACAATATGAAACATTTACTATTTGTTTCAGTTTGATACTGCAATGTCTTTTTTGTTTTTTTAACAGTATTCTAGATGCCTGGCTCTGTCAAGACCGTTCCAGTTTTCCCAACAGGACATCCCAAACATACGGAAGAGGATCTATAAGGAACTCTGTGACTGTGAGCTTCATGTACAGGACTGATGAGACGAAGGTACATGCAGCTTCTGAAGGATTTCTAAAACGAGGAACCTCACTGCTCTGAGCTTGGCCCTCTGTTGGGGTTTACGTCCATCAGGTCTACAGTCAAATCCACAACTCTTGTTGCTCTGCTGTACTTATGTGATTGCTATTTAACCTGAAGTGTAATTTAAGTAAGAAGCATCTCTGAAGTCCACCAGAAAAGCCTTATTCAGTCTGTCATGGATTTTCTGTTGCTATCCAACTATTAAAAATAGCAGTTTTACAATTTTAATTTCTGTTAACGTCATTACTTAAATAGATGCATTTGGTTGAGTCTTTTGTGTTTCAACCGGAAGTAATTATAAAGCTTTACAAACAAGTTGGATGTACTTTGCTTTTATTTGATGTTTTCATCTTGTATATTGGGTATACAGTACACATTTCACGTAGAACTATACGAGTTTACAGAGTTACATGTGAATATGTTGTGCTGGCTTCACATGTGTAGACTGTCTCTGAACATGAGACCACAGCAGACACAAGGTAGACATTTAAGGCACACAGAGCTCTCTGTCCGAGAATCAGACCTGAAGAACACCAGAAAACACGGAAGAAGACATTTCCACTACAGACTGTGGACTAGATAACACATAGGTTCTTTGTGAATAAGACAGAAAATAAACATGCATCGTCGGAGGCTTTTAACAATTTTGTATGGGTGTAAATCAGACATAAGAAAATGATGGGTGTACCTTCAAATGAAAAGTGGTTTCCCCAACTTGTGAGCTGGACAGGGGGATCACTTTTTTCAAAGTGGAAGGACCTCCAGGGGGCGCTAAAAAACTGGAAATGAGGAAAAACAAGTCCAACTAAAAAATTAAATCAAATTTCAATTATTTTTAAATCTTCAAAACAAATGTTTCTTCAATTATTATTATTATTATTATTATTATAAAACACAATAAGTGTATAAGTCACAATAAACTCATATGTTTATGTTCTTTGCCATGCTCGTCTCTGATTGGCTGACAGTCAAACGCATGGAGCCGCGTTGCTCGGTAAGCTAGCGAGCTAGCATGCGCGGAACGGACCAGATTCTGACAAGAAGAGGACAGAAGGACCGTCCAGCTGTGGAGGACACTGGACACAATGTCAGCTACAATAAGAAAATATGAGGAAGAGTTTATGCAAAGCAAATGTAATAATTATTGAACAGAGAATAAAAGCAAGAAAAACAAGTAAAGTCTGTTTTTTTGAAGAAGCTAATGCTATTTGGGGTTGAGGTCCTGAAACATGATAGATTTTAATAGTGTATTATTCTTGAATTGAATTACGGTTATGACCTCGGCACACGTTAACTAGAAGTTCATGTTCAATTTAAAAGTATTTATCTCAAAAGGAATTTAAATGTCGTGACTCCTATCTTCAAAATGTCAGAATTCCACATCAACATGTCCTGGATGACGCAAGCACTGCTAGTCCACCTCATCTGCTTTTGCCACTCCTGTTTAAATCTCTGTCTGGCCTTAAGATCAGAAAGCCGGGCAGACAGATGTTGGAGTTGGGGAAACTATCGATGGTAGAAATGATAGATGATTTGAACTTCCTGCTTCTCTCTATCAATCCATGCAGCCTCCTTCTCAACTCCTTTAGGATCTGAGGTCATAGTTCAGGTATAAGTTGAGTTTTTGAGATGCTAATCGATTATCAGAAACAAATTCCTCTAGACATGGTTATGCATCATAGCAATTGTCCAAACACATTATGCCTCAACCAAAAACATAAGAGTCTACAAAAAGAATGGGTGTATATAAATGATTGACCGTCTACACAAAGTTTGGTCCGTTTGGTTTTGCCTAATCGTTGACGTGGAACCCCCACTCGATCTCCGGCTCGTCATCGAGGCGGATGACAAGGTAAGACACGAGTTGGAAGAGGTTCTGCCACAGGCCTAAGAACAGGTACATGTAGAAGTCGCTGACGTCCATTTGGCAGTACACGCCCGAGTAGTTCATGTCGCACACGCACTCGAAGCTGTTCACATAGTTGATGCAGAAGCCTCCGTTCATACACGGGTCTGAGGCACATTCATCTATATCTTTCTCACACCTGAAAGGATACAAAAAAAAAAAGATTTTTTCAAAAACAAATGCATGCTAACCATGATTGACCATAAAATAATAAATGTGGAAATAAGGACATTTAGTAGTACCTAGGATTCCTGCTAATATTTTTAAAGAACACAAGAAATTTAGAAATGTATATGAAAAAATGATTAATTTAGCTTTATTTGGTTAAGCGGCTTTCCTTCAGTGTTTCAAGACAAACATCATTTTGCATGTCCTACCATTGACCGGTGAATCCAGGCAGGCAGTAGCAGGTATTGTCAACTTCAGAGCAGTTTCCTCCATTAAAGCAGCTGTAGTTCCATCTTGTACTCGCGCAGAAAGAGGCAGGCAACAGAGGAAGTCTAGACAGATGCATACATAGTGTCAGCTTCCTTTTTTGTACTTGCATGGCTTTGCAACCTCTGCATTTTTGGTGTGTCAAGAAGCACTCACGGATCTGTCTCTATGTACCACGGAGTTTCAGGGATTTTAACACTGTAAGAGATGAGCTGTGTCAGTACAACTTTTTAAAAATGTTTAGCTATTGCTTAAATACTGCCGTCACACTATTGTTGTGTATCTTATAGTTCCCATGAGGTAAGAAGACATAACCTCATAGCAAAATTACTTTCCTGCATTGTTTTTTTTCTTCATCTTTTTGCCACCATAGATCATATAATCTCATCAACAGAAATACATCTCGAAAAAAATTCCTCCACAGTTGGTGCATCCATGTATAACATGTTTTTAGTTTCTCACAACTGTACTTCAACCATACGATAGGACTTGATCTTCCTCATCATTTTTCACATTTAGACTCATGTTCAACGTGAGTCTTTCTATAAATCAGTATAAATGGAAAAGTAGAAACAGTGTGACGGCAGCTTTTAAAACTTGTGTAAAACTTACTCGCAGAAATGTCCTGTCATGTTCCGAGGACACAAACACGTGTAGCTCTGGAAGCCTTTCAGGCAGGTGGCGCCATAATTGCAGCTGCTGTTTTCACACATATCCATTTCGACCTCGCACTGTTCACCAGTGAAGCCTGGCTCACAATCACACTTATAGCCCTCGGAGAGGTTAGTACAGTTACCGTATACACATGGGTGAGAGTTGCACTTGTCTGCCTGGTCTTGGCATAGTGATCCTGTCCATTCAGAGGGGCAGGTGCACTGATGCTGGTCGAACAGATCCTCACACATACCCCCGTTCTGGCATGGGTTTGGAGCACACACATTGGCTCCCCGGCATCCGTACTGTGGTGAATTATCGCTGTTGCCCCTCACAAACTGTTCCTCCTGAGGTCTGGGGAGGTTCAGTTCTGTCTCCAGATGGAATGGTAAATGAAGACCCCCAATCTCCACTGGACCTAGACATCCTGAAAAAGTCGATCCAGATTCCTGGCTTAGGCCACCCAGGAAAATGTCTGCTGCATCCCTGAGAAAGTTCAAGTTCCCAACTGCTGCTTTTGAGACACTGATGTACTCTCTGTGTCCGTCTACATCCATGATCCACCTGGATATTGGAAACTGTCTCTCTTTGCTGATTGATACAAAGTGCCACTCACCATCACTGAGTGGAGCCAGGCTTTCTGCTGTCACTTTCAGAGAGTCGTTATCAGCCCCACCCAGGAGCTCCATAACCAAACGAGAGTCAAGGAGAGAGACCGTTATGTAATCAGAGTCTCTCTGACCATGAAGCAAAACGGCCTCTGACTGCCTACTGCGGAAGCTGAGGGAGACACTGGAGAGGTTGGACTTAATCTTCTTGTTGCTGTGATACCACAAAATTCTGTTTTCAAGCCGGAACGTCACATTGGACAAACCTATGGCATGCAAACAGAAAAGACTGTAAATAAAGTCACTTCAAGACATTATGGTGAGGATCCCTTATTTGGTTGAAACATTTGAGTCTGATACACCAAAGCAAGAGTGCTCAAGTCCAGTCATTGAGAGCTACCACATTGCAAACTTTAGATGCTTTCTAACACTTAGATCAAATGAGTTGCTCTCAATCTGACGTGTGCAGGGCTGAGTTACTGCTGGTGACAGAATTCAGGTGTTTGATTCATGTGTGTTGAATCAGGGATGCTTCGCCAATGTCATACTGCCCCAGGTCAGCTGCAGCTGCAGTCCAGTAACTTGCCACCATCAGCTAGTGAATAGGTTAATGTCTGAACATGTCTGAACATGCTTTAATATTCTCTGATATTGATAAAGCACTATACAAGAACAGTGTACTTAGCTAGAGTGAAAGGTATTGAGGACTGGACTTGAGTACCCCTGATTTAAAAAGGTTTAGCCAAATTAAACTTTTATTACACCAATGAGACATGCCAAAGTGGTGCAGAACATGCCTGTACCCCAAATCAAAAACATGTTCAAGTAATGAGAGAGGCAGGTTATTGTTCCAGAGAAATTAGTCTTTGTGCCCAAACGAGGAGCCATAATAGATTTTCTGAAATATCCTTATTGTGATCAGCACCTTCCTCCTTTTCTCATCAATAACACGTGACCAAGAAATCTCGTCATCACACACTACCACAAGCATTTGCCAGTAGACCTAATCCAACCAGGGATTACCATGTCTTAGGGGAATCCTGCATCAGTAACTCTGTTCCCTCCTGCAATTAGCCACATAGTAATTAATAAGTCTATGAATCCTGCTTGGGATAAGGAATAGAAATTCTGGCTGTATGTGAAGTGTAATTCTTTTTTTTTTTCTTTAAAAAAAGGTATCAAATAGATGCTCTATTTTATAGTGAGTTGACATGAAAGTAGGTAATGAAAGAAGGGGGAAGACATGCGGCAAAGGTCACATGTTGTAACAGGAAATCTTCGAGGAAAGGGTACTTACACTCAAAGCCTTGGGAGAGGGGCTGACAGATGGTTGTAACAGGGCAGGGAGACAGCTCACACCATTTCACCTCCTCACACCGTTGACCTGCTGTGTTGGGGGGACAGCTGCAGATAAAATCATCCCACATAGAGTAACACTCGCCTCCATTGAGACAAGGGTTGACCTGATGTATGAAAGACAGAAATGACATTACAAGTCTGGTTCATTTTACACAGAAGTCATAAGCATGGCTTTTGTCTTACAGCACAAGCGTTGTCGCTGCTGCATCCTTCTGATACGCCCACAAGCTTCTCCAGGTTGTACGACTCCACAGGAGTTGATACTGGATAGAACTGCAGGTGCTTGGTGTTAATCCTCAGATCCTGGACGCATCCCTTGAAGTAGCCACCAAATGAAGCCGAGGCTCTTGAATCTGGTAGACCTCCAACAAAGACCAAATCGCCAGGATGTGCTTGGACTCGCCTGATGGCCATAGCGCCCTGGGTTTGAGCTGACAGGAACAAAGTGGCTGCAGTTCCTTCCAGCTTCACAGCAACCAGGTGGAAGTGGCCATTGTTGACAGTGTTCCGACCGACAAGAGTCTCAAAGTTGTTGACCTGAACTTTGACCCTGCCCTCCACCAGCCATAGGCGAAGATACTGGCTGGTGGTGTTGGTCAGGATGAGAAGTAGACCACTGGACTGTCTGGTGCGAATGAACATGGATATAATGATAGAATCCCCTGGATCATTGTCTAATGAGAACATGGCATAGCTCTCAAGGTCTTTGTTTCCAAACCTGCCAGTGATGTACTCTGTGATGAAGGAATGAACAGAGAGAAATAGGTATCAACGGCATGAATGATAAACAGTACAATGTCATTTAATTACAGGATTGTATCAGGTGTTAAAATGCTCAACAAATGTCACATTTTTATTACTGATTTTAAAAAATACCAAGTTATATGGCTGTGTACCTTGAAATTGTTTTGAGGTACAATTGCACAGCAAAGTCTGCTACTTCTTTGATGTTTAGATTTACTGGTATGTGGTCTTCAGCACCTCACCAGTATGCTTATTGATCAAGTTTCCATTCAGTTGCTTAGTTTGGCTTCCATCTCTACTTTGGTCTTATTTGCTTGGTTGCTTTTTCAAACAAGACAAACGCTAGTCATTATCTGACTATCCTTTCAACATCAGCATACTAACTAGGGCCTTAATCTAAGATGAAATTTTTGGATTTGATTCGCAGGTTCTCTGATTGATTAGATTGGGGTGAATTTGTGGGGACCTCCATTTTTGTAAAGTTTGGCAACAGTCCTATAGGTTTTCCACTTGTGAAAAATATCTTGATGTAAAATGATGGACATTTGTGAAATGGCTTTGTATCCCATAATATATTGGTGGGCTTTTACAGTTGCCTTTTTAAGGTTATTGTGTTAACACTTACCTGTACTGTCCGGATCAACTGATTAAACTCCTACTTTTGAAGAGACGGTCACTTGTTGCTGATGATCAATTAATTAAGTGTTCTTAATAAATCCCATCCAGCTTATAGATAATAATATGGAAGCAGCAAACATTCCCCTTTGATCATATCAAGTTCTCGATCCTTGTATTTCTTAGGTTGTGACTCAGTGGGACGAGTTGTAGGATTCAGCTCTAGCGTTCATCCCCTGTCATTTGTCGATGTGCCATTGGGCAACATATTTTTTCCCAAGCTTCTTTGGTATCTGTATGCAATTGTGTGAATATAAAAACACTCTGAGTGGTTCATATGACTATAATTATCCATGTAGGTGTTGTTTATTTGCCAATTCCTACTTCATTTTTAATATCCAGCTGAAAACCTTAAAAAATGTTGATTCTAAAATGTTTTTTCTTTTTCCTTTTTATTCCAGTCTTTTCAGAAATGTTATAATGCATATTACTGAAGAAAACAATCAGTTGCTGATGACTTCACTCAGGAAATTTGTTGACAGTTATGTTTGTCAATGAAATAACACACACATAATAAAGACATTTCTTAATTTACCCTTTAAAGAAGACGCCTTGGTGTGTCCCAGACGTTTAAGACTCCCTGATCTGGAAAGCTGAGAGCATTCCCGGTCAATTAGTGAAAGCCACGTTTTTTTAATCCATGCTGCAGGTGTAGATAAATAGCTTCTAATTTGACATCTGTTTGACTGGACTTTGGTCTATTTCCATTTACCCAATAAGCTCCTTTAAAATTTGCTGTCTAACTTTACCCTGGTGAGTGGCTCTCTTTAAAGCGATCCATTGAAAGTTCTTGATGTGACACCTACTAAGTCTGGACTTAACCTTTAGCTTCTTTAACAGCCTCTGGTAATTCTGCTTACAGTTGGGTCATTACTAAAGATGAGCATACCGGAGTCACATGCACACATCGTCAAATAAATGAATGAAAAAAATTAATGACCTATCAAATAAAAATCAAAAACCAGAGGCAATGTGAAAGTTGTCAATAATTAACTGAGACATTGTGGTGTGTTTTGTAGAAATAGTTTAAGTTTGTGCTGCTCTGTCACCTAAAAATCCTATACAATAAACTGAGAAAGAAGATGTGGGTGTAATCTGATAGCAAACAGAAAAGATCAAACGATGTGAAGACTACTGAAAGGCCCTGAGTGTGTGTGTGTGTGTGTGTATGGGGGTGTGTTTACCCTCTGCACAGTCGTCTCCTTCATATGGCCTGTGGCATTCACAGGCGTACCTCCTCCAGCCCTGGCTCACACACCGCCCTCTGTTCTGACATGGGCTGTCCTCACATTTGTCTCTGTCACTGCATCCAGCTACGATGTTTGCCTGGACGTCTGAATCTTTTGGCACGTCACCAGGCAGCACCAGACGAGAATCTACTAAGACATCCCTAAAGCAGCCCAGAAAGGCTGGTGGATCCTCTGCTCTGTCCTCGACTCCACCTGAAGCCCCGTTCCACCCAAAGGTTCCAACAAAGAGGCTTTGTCGAACAACTCCTGGCTCCGGCAGAGTGGCAGCTTGATCCATCGGCTGCACGTTGACGCCCGAGGCCGTGATGCAGCTCACCTCACTGCAGAGCAACCTGATGAAACTGACCACACCGCCCAGAGATGCTTCAACTGTGTGCCACTTGTTGTTGGACAAATACTCTGGGAGTTCTTGAACCAGAGTGCTGGTGCCTTGATCTCTCAAGTTGAGGAGGCGCAGCTGCCCATCCATCAGCTCAATGGTGAGGAGCAAGTCATCCACTCTACACTGAAAAAGAGTACCTGTTGGGTTCTCTGTTCTAAAGCTGAAGGTCACATTAAGAGGAGATTCTGGGTCCAGTTGCTCGGTGTTGATATACATATATCCCCGTGACTCAAATGAGAATGTGGTGGAGGTCTGGCATTTTGGCCCGGTGTAACCTGGAAGGCAGATGCACATGTAGGTGTGTTGGTTGTTCGAAAACGAGGGAGAACATATTCCTCCATTCTCACACTGGCTTTCGTCACAGCCCAAAAGAGGAATTGTACAGTTCTCTCCACCATACAAGCGTCCATTTTGGCTCTGCTGCGAACAAAGGCAACGGAATCCTCCGGAGTGGCTTTCACATAGTCCGCCATTTTGACACGGCTGCTGTTCGCACCCACCAAAGTCCTCACTGTACAGTTTTCCTGGAGAAATAAAAAAAAAACCAAATCAATCTATGTTCATACAAATAAGACTGGATTTACATGAATGTAGATTCCTGAGCTGGAGGCAGTTTTAATGTCCTTATTAAAATTATTTTGCTTATGCAAATTAGCATATTAACAGGTAGTCCTATCAGCTAGGAACTGATTCATGGTAGGATTAATATCCTCTGATCAGTAGCTTTACGTTGTTCCCCCCAAAAAATGCTTTACAATTTTCAAATACTTGAGTATTTTTTATAATCTTAATATTGTGCATGCGACTCACCTCATATAGGCCTACTTAGTATTATATAAAGTACAATGTATAAAAAATATGCATTTACTAAAAAAAAAAACAAAACAAAAAAAACAGAAATTTGTGTGTGTCGCATAAAATCGGGGCCTGTCTGTGGAAGCCCTTTGTGAATGCACTTTATTTTGACATGATATGGTAGACCAGATCAAAGAAGTGCCTTATTGTGAAGTGGAATGAACAGGGTTCATAATTTTCCATGGTTTTTGCAATTCAAAATCTGAAAAGAAGTGGCATTCGTTTCTATTCAGCCTCTTTCAATCTGCTAAAAAATAAAAGAATGAAATAAAATCTGGTGAACTCAGTCATCTTAAGAAAACAAAACAATATGTCACAACTTTAAACCTCCCAAGGTCAGCTTGAAGGAACAGAGAAGCAGCCAAGAGGCCCATAGTTAGACAGGCTGCAGAGATCCTTGGCTCTGGCGAGAGAATCTGTTCGCAGGACAAATAGAAGTTGTGCAATCCAAAAAAAAAAGGCCTTTATGACGGAGCATCAAGAGGCAAATCAAATGTCAATGCAAAGTCAATGCTCTCATGATAAAAAAAAAAAAACAGAAAATGAAACTTTTCAGCATTTATATAAAATGCCTTGTCTTGTTCACATCAAACACACCATTCGTACCAGTGGAACATAGCAGTGGACACATCAGGCTGTAAGGATGCTCAACTTCCCCAGATGCAGGGAAGATGGTCTGAATTACTGGGAAGATGGACAGAGCTAAATGCAATCCTGGGAGAAAACGTATTAGAGGGTGCAAAAGACTAGAAACGGAGGTAAAGATTCTAGCAGGACCACAGCTACCAGGTTTAGGTCTTCATATTGTGGAATGGCCCAGTCAAAGTCAAGACCACTACAAGATCCCATTGCGAAACTTTAAAATGGATGCTCAGAGATGCTTTCTACCAAAACTTACTGAGCTTGAGCTTTTTTCTGAGAAAAGTGCAAAGCTGGTACGACTTGTTGCAGTCACTGCAGCAAAAGGTGGTATTGAATATATTATATTATATATTGAATCAGGGGAAAAGAACCAAAGCACACCATTTTTAAAACTTTGCATGCTTTTCCTTCCGTTTCAGAAATGACACGAATTTTGTGCCAAAGTTAAATAAAAACGGAGACCGTTAGAAAGACACTGTACACAGTTAAAAACACACAAATACAAAATTCAGGCTAAACGACAATGAAACAAAACAATTTGCTGCTTCCTTTATCTGACACACCTGTTCAGGCACAAACATGCCACTGAGGTCATCAGGGCCTAAAAATCTCTGGTCATAAATCATTTAACATCACCTGCAGAAAGCAACACGAGGATCCACGCACGCATGTTGAATCTCAACATTGTCCTGTACAAGTCCTCCACACTGTTAGATGTTGGCCACTGTCTTCATTTTAGAACATACTGGAGAAAATGTGTGTGTGGCGCTCCATCGTCTCCCCCCTCCCACGCATCCCTTAACGCATGTATGTGTAAACTGAAATGCTTGGAGCGCTGCATGCTGGATAGAAGAGATTAAGCTAATGCACTTATGTAGTCTTACATGTTAAACGTGTTGGAGAGGGGAGGGGTGCATTGGAGCCGGCTAATTCCAGCACCTCCACGCGTGTTCCCAAACACAACCAAAATGTGCTGTTATGTAAGTGACAGCGACTGGATTTCAAAGTCGTGGTCCGATAGAGCCAGAGAAAAGCTCAGCTTCTCACTGAGCGACATTTCCTTTCGCAATCACCCAGACATTGCAGAGGATTAACGAGGTATCAAATATCAATTTAGAACTTTGACTCAAGTACAGATATCATATTTGATTACATAAATGCATTAATAAAATACTCTTGTCAAAAAATGGTCTAAGATTAATTCTTTTTTTTTAATCCTTGTTTTAATGCACAAGATTTTGTGCATTTACCATAAAGATTAATACTTAAACTATATATGTCAGACAAAGGTTATAAAAGAAAAAAAACTTCCAGGAACATGTTATTAATGTCATCAAAAACTATATGTAAAGAAAACTCTCAGGTCATATTTCTACTCCACTGATGAAGAGAAAGTTTTCTGATTGAGAAATTAGCTACCAAAAATATTATTAGGAATGATTTAAACTAAAATGAATATTTAGAAAAGTTTATTACTCTCATAAGTTTAAAGAAAGGAGGTCTTTAACTGTAATACTCATGTTTAACCATTAATTTGTGTTGCTCTTCAATAAATCAACCACCTGTCCCGGACGGACGGACAGAGGGATGGATGGACGGATGGACGGATGGACGGAGGGACGGATGGACGGATGGATGGATGTCCAACATTAGTCATTCTTCTCAGGGAAGAAGGGGAAAAGATTCTGAATAAGAAACTGACATTTATAATATCTTTAAGTTTTTTGCACTGACAATAAATCAATCTTGAGTTTCGTTACTGAAAATGAACCAGCCATTTTTCCACAGTTAATTCATTATCTAACGTGAGGGGTGGTAATATAAAGTTCGGACAAATACGGAGCATAATCCAAAAACCCTTTATTTAGATGGAACACTGTAAATTGGGCCTGGCGTCACAATTCAAATTTCCGAGGCGAAGCGAAGGCAGCATAACTTCAACTCCGTCATTCAGACTACATTACCCATGATTCTTTGGTGTCCGCGGAAGCTTTCCAAATGTCAGCACAGTGAGCTTGTCAGTAACCGCGTAACATGGTAACTTCAGGAACACACTCAGTGTTGTCATTCGGTATTAAGACGTTTCGTTGAGCTTCACGCAACTTGACGTCTGGACCGACGGACGAATCCGCACCAGCCAATGGGGGAGCGCTTTGTTTCGGCGTCCGACATTTCTGGTGGGGCGTTTCAGCCAGAGGCTCAGGAAATTATTATGTCCTCTATTTATGTCCCATTATTAGCCCTTTGCGCTAAAAACGACATTATGGAGGCCTCTCGCCCGTATTTGGTAAGAGTATTTTTAATACGTCCCGATAACAACGCGAGTTCACTAAGTAACGATAAAGGTCGTTTGTCGACGCTCTCCTCGGAGGGGGGCCCGCCCGTCTCACTCATAGCATAATGTTGGGGGGGTCCTTGAGGTGGAGGGGGTGCTTGTAAACACAACCGCTATTATTGGCGAGAATGAAGCTGACTGTCGTAATTAGTCAGCGACTGTCGCTTCGTTCTGCGAGGCCGCCGACGACAAAAACAACGAGCGTCCATGATCCGTGTTACTACGCAACACTGTTACGCTGCTGTTACATCCGATGTAAACTTGTGTTTCACGTTTGCTGTTGACACCAGCACTGTTTTACTCAAGTAGCTTGTTAGGTAGGAATTGTGTCAAAGCTTTAGATAGTCTGAGCTAAGCCGTCACATTGTAGCCCAGCACATCACACCTAATAATTAGAGCCCTCAATGAACGAAACTAGTCAGACAATCAACTAGAGAGATATAATAAGTATGTCTTGGTAAGCACTTTATGAGCAAAAACTACCAAAATGTCCCACTGTGTGCACATAAATGTTCCTCGCCAAACAGACACATTGTTACAGGACCTAGAAATGTCTAGACAAGGCTTTGCTGATTCAGATTTTTCTTTTTCTAATAGCTGCAAAAGATGTAAAAAAAATATTTCTTTCTTTTGAATGAAAGTTATAGCTTTGTATTCTACAGTAAATGAAGGAACTATCAGAGCATACGCCCCGGACCTTGACCAAGTTTTTAAGAACCTCCAACAGAATGCATGTTTGGACATTTACAGACTGTAAACGGAAAGAACTGTAAGCTTTGCTGCATTTTCTTAGTAATGGAAAGAAAAAAAATGTAATTATTGTATTACATACAGATCACAGCAAATTACAGGAAAGTTAGCTGATTCTGAACACTGGTAATTTACTGCTTTATCTCGAATGACAGTGTTATCGAAAGCATTTACTTTTGTATGTTTTATTTCAATGAAGACATATAAAATAAACAACTGCTGAGAACAGTTGTCCAAGAGCTGGTCAGCTCTGCTGGTCAGCTGAGCGCAGCAATATGTGGGGATGGGCAGCGCTCTATTATTCTATGATACACATTTATGTTTGTAAATGTACAAGTGGTGCATTTACTGATTCTCTGAAATCAACAAATGTTTCAATCTGGTATGAAAAAGTCACTGCAAGTTTAAATTGAAGCTTTAATGACCGACTTGATCTCAAATGAAAATTCTTGAGGTCTATTCTCTTTGAGAGACGTCAAAGGCTCATGGCGCCCCCTGCTGGCTTAGAAGCCCTTCGCAGCTACTTAATTTATGTTATGCCTCTGTCCAGCTTTGGTCAGAGACATCAGAACTAAACCCTGTGATCAACTCCAAAGTCCAGTTTCATTGTATTTGTTGTGTTTTGCAGCACTGATCAATTGTACCCCAACATTCATCTCCATAATGAAGAAAAAGCCAAACACTATGGTTCTTCCAAAGCGTGGGAGACCGGTGACAAACGCATCCGCAGCAGAGGAGTGCAGAATCCCATTGGACTCCAAAACCGTCCAGGATTCGTCTCTTCCTCTCAGACGCCTCACCATGTCACAGCACAGTGACAACCTCCTTGCGTTTTTGAACGAGGACCGGACCCGGCAGCGGTTCTGCGATGTGTCCGTGTCGGTGGGTGGGACGGTTTATAGGGCCCACAAAGCCGTCCTGGCCCACGGGAGCAGCTACTTTCATGCAGAGCTCTCCAAGAGCTCGGGTACAATGACTCACGTCACCCTGGACCACGTGGAGGATTCGGTTTTCCAGCATCTCCTCGGCTTCCTGTACACATCAGAGTGTGTCGTTGCAGAGACAGATCTCCCAGCTCTAGCTGAAGCAGCCAGGTTCTTGGATATGATGGACGTATTAAAGCTCTTGTGTGAGGACGGGAAAGCTACCTCTTCCCAGGGAGAGACGAGGGAAACTGAGTTAGAAATTCTCTCCTGTGACGCTGCTGGGGCGGACACAGAGGTCCAGAGCACCCCGAGCAGCAAAATCTCCCCGCAGCACAGTGTTGCTGAAAGTACTAATCCAGCTTCAGGTAGGGAGGTGAAGACATGTCCAAAAAGTGCTACCACACGGAGATCGGCTTGTACAAGAAAAAACCCCTCTAAACATAAGAAAGACAATGGAAAGTACTCTGTCAGCAATACTGCGGAGCAGCAAAGCGTTGAATCACCAGGGAGACCAGATGAACACAAAGTGGACAGTGTTTTGGAGCTTAATCGTGACGTGAAAGAGACCCCCAAACCATCTCAGGGCGACGACATGATGGAGGAGGACACGGAGGAGGACGAGCAAGATGTTAACACGGGTGCTGTTTCACAGAAGAACATTTGTGAGGTTTCTGGGAACGACAGGACGGCTTTAGAGGAAGGTTCACACACTGACAGAACGGAGGCGCCATCCGGGCTAGATCGGGAAGTTCACCTGCCTCCAACAGCAAGCGCTAATCAGAGTCCAGAGTATCCTGAGGGTCTGGCTCCAGTTATCATTCAAACATCCAGCAAAAAGACTCTCAAGTGTCCCAAATGTGAGAAGACGTTTGATCGTGCAGGTTGGTTCCCTCGGAGTCGGATCTAGAATGTTCCTCATGTCTTTAGCATGTAGATTTGCCTTTCTGTGTCTCTTGTCATCTTGGTGACAATAATTGCTTGAAAGTAGTTATGGCTTGATTTCCTTTCTCCGCACTTGTAGGGAAATACGAGAGTCACACCAGAGTCCACACGGGAGAGAAGCCTTTCCAGTGTGACATATGCCTCCAGTGCTACTCCACCAAGTCCAACCTGACGGTGCACAAGAAGAAGCACACAGGCGATGCTCCCATTCCAAAGAAGGAGCACAAGTGTCCCTTCTGCAACAAACTCCATGCCAGCAAGAAAACTCTGGCCAAGCACGTCAGAAGGTAAAACACAAGCCTGTCCAGTCGATATACCTGCAGTCATTCTGTTTTACAGAGCTCTTTTAGGGGTTTGTGGCGGTCTGTCTCAGCAGAATGCTAATATTTCTGTTCAGTCATCATGCCAGAAGATATGGCATGACTTTCAAGTAATATTGAAACTTTGGTTTGAAAGTTATATGACTTTGAAACCACAGTCAAGTTCCTTGTTTGTGCACCCAAACATAGACAATGTGTCTGATTCTGATGTATGTAAAATGTAATCAAATGTCGGATATGGCAAGATGAGCTTCTCCATATGTTGAGTTCAAGTGATACGTAAACAAAGGATAAGAAAGTTTGGGCGGATATCGATGTCTGTTATGAACAGTGTTGTTATGGATGACAACCAATATTTACCTATTTTATGTTTTTCTATCCTCTCAATAATATGGGGGTGGGGGGGAAACGGCGCTGACATTGATTCTCTACTTCAGTTAAATCCCCACAGTCCTGCACTGCATCACTCTGACTGTCACATGACCAAGCAAGAAGCAGCTCCTACACGGTCAACCTCTCCACTGTCACTATGTTCCCTGTTGTTCCAGGTTTCATCCCGATCACACACAGGAGTTTTTCGCTGCGAGGAAAAAGAAGAGCGAAGGCTGGAAATGTGCAGTAAGAACCAGCTCGTACTTTAACACGTCTGGAAGTACATTTGTACATCTTCCGAATCATTCGCATGTTGGCACAACCTGCTTTACTCTGGAGGAGTAAAGCAGGTCAGCAGGTTGTGATCGAATCTTACACGGCATGAAATTCAGAATCTTAACTACCCGTACACGGTCCAACAGATTTGTTCGAAGACGTTCAGCCGCAGGCCTCACCTGCAGGAGCACATGATCCTGCACACCCAGGACCGGCCCTTTAAATGCTCATTCTGTGACGAGTTCTTCAAGTCCAGGTTTGCAAGGCTGAAGCACCAAGAGAAATATCATTTGGGTGAGATACAGCAGAAGCCCTTCTGTTGTTGCTGGTCAAAATCTTTACAATCTACATAAAAAAAAAATGGTGTAAAACATGTTGTTTTTTTGTTTTTTTTGATTTGACTTTTTGTTTGTTTGTTTGTTGCAGGCCCGTTTCCCTGTGAGATCTGTGGACGTCAGTTCAACGACACCGGCAACAAAAAGAGGCACATAGAGTGCACACATGGAGGCAAACGAAAGTGGACCTGCTTTGTTTGTGGGAAATCAGTGAGGGAAAGGTACAGTTCCACATCACACTCCCCCCGGGCTCCACCATGTAAGGAGAATATGAGATTACAATACGAAAGTGGGGAATTCTGATGACAACATTGTAATCAGATTTGATCTCTGAATATCAATGCCCGCTTTTGATTTGTTTGTGTCACAATCAAAAAAGACAAATCGATAAGTATCTATATCTGTCAGTGGAAATAAGGAGTCGGAGTCGATACCAAAGACCAAACAATCGATGACACTAGAAATCTCACACCACAGCAGATATTGAATCTGAACTGTTCTTAATGAGTGCTCAATAATATTCCAATAGCTTAAATTGTGCATCTTAAATTTATTTCTTTTTATTTTGTATGTTCAATGCCATGAAAGTTTTTTTTTTTTTTTTTTTGCATTTGAATTTATAATCAACATTTCTTTTTATTTATGTGCTATACCAGCAAGTGCAGCTTTAAATGTACTTGCTGGTGAAGAAAGGTGAAGAAAAAGAATGCATAGATTTCTTTATGCATTAAGACAAATTCAAATTCATATTCACCCGCCTTCTAAAAGTATATCTGTAAAAATGACAACATCGCCTTCAGAAGCCTCCCCGTCTGTCGTTTAGCTTAATTACATTAGATGTTTTTTTATTTTACTTAGTGTTGTCAGAGAAAAAGGGGCGCCCATTCCAACTGCACAAACAAAAGTTGCCACCATTTTGTTTCTTTGTTCACAATTTTGGCGTCATTTTGTGGGTCTATCGCATAAAATCCCCAAATACTATGTTCCAGTTTGTGGTTGTAATCTGACAAAATGGCAAAGCCGTAATTTATTTGTCCCGTCTCTCTTCAGGACGACATTAAGGGAACACTTGCGTATCCACAGCGGAGAGAAACCTCATCTCTGCAGCATTTGCGGGCAAAGTTTCCGTCACAGCAGCTCCTACAGGTGGGAAGTTTTATTTTTTTTAATTGTTTTATTCTTTAGAAAACCACATCTGCGCCCTGATCACAAACACTTCAGACTTTCAGTATGGCTGGTTCTGGTGATAAGAAAAAACCAAAACAAAAGTCGGCTGTTTGTGTTTGCAAAGGCTTCACCTCAGAGTCCACCATGATGACAAGCGCTACGAATGTGACCAGTGTGGGAAAACCTTCATACGCCACGATCACCTGACCAAACATCAGAAAATACACTCTGGTAAGCGTTGAAGAGGCGACGGGCCTTAATTCAGCTTTTGTCTCGTCCACCCAGGCCTTTGGTGAAGTTCTCGTTTCTCTCTGATGGCGAGTTCAGTGCGGTTTGTTTGTTTCTAGGTGAGAAAGCGCACCAGTGTGAAGAATGTGGGAAGTGCTTCAGGCGCCACGATCATCTAACAGTGCACTATAAAAGTGTTCATTTGGGAGAGAAGGTTTGGCAGAAGTATGTCATCCAAATCACTGATTTATGTTTTGCACTAGCAATAGCATGTGACTTTTCCTCTCTTCACCCTGATGATTTGAGTTCTGCTTCTGTCTGAATTGTATTTTTTTATTTTTTTTCTCAGATATAAAACTGCTGTGCATCAATGTGAGGTTTGCAAGAAAGAGTTCAAAGGAAAGTCCAGTTTGGAGATGCACTTCAGGACTCACTCAGGTAAATCATGACTTTAGCTTTAATTTAAAAAGCATTTTAAATTGATGTTACATTTAATAAAAACCAATACTGATGTTATAGAAATAGTTTTTTTTTGTAAAACTTTTATTCTGAACTATTTTCTTCATTTTAGTAGGGAATCTTACGTTCGCTTTAAGAAACATTGATTTTTTTGTTATGTGGAAACGACAGATTGGCAGGACACTTGAAACACTTTCTGCTCTTTCAATGCGTGGACGGCTTTTGATCCACAGGCGAGAAACCCCACAGATGCCCAGAGTGCCATCAGACTTTTCGGATCAAGAAGACCTTAACGAAGCACATGGTGATTCACTCGGACGCCCGTCCCTTTAACTGTCCGCACTGCAGCGCCACCTTCAAGAGAAAAGACAAGCTGAAGTACCATGTGGACCACGTGCACAGCGCCAGGATCAGCGAGCCGCCGTCCAGCCAGGACAAAGCCGCCTCTGCTCCTTTTCAGGAAACCTCAAAGACGTACCACTCTGACCCCAAGTCGGCGCCGCGAAGCGCCTCCAACCCGGCCACCGTCTGCATCCCCGTCACTTTAGTCCCTGTTCCCATGGCAGCAGGAGGTCCGGGAGACCTTCATCCCCACCGGGCCGCCTCTCTCTCGTCTCAGACCCACAGCGTGGTGAATGTTCAGGCTCAGGGCCAGCAGCAGCAGCAGAACCCGGGCTACCAGGCAGCAACAGATCTGGCTTTCTTAGAGAAGTACACCCTGACCCCTCAACCGGCCAACATCGTCCATCCCGTGAGGCCCGATCAGATGCTGGACCCTCGAGAGCAGTCGTACCTGGGGACGCTGCTGGGCCTGGACTCGGCTTCCTCCGTTCAAACCATCTCCGACTCTGATCACACTCACCGATGAATGAATCCACTGGAAAATGTGCAGATTTAGGACCAAAACTGTATGAACAGCACCCGACCCAGTTTGATTCAACAGTAACGCCCAAAGAGAGATGTTAACACATTGACTATTTCTATCCGATCTTTTATATAATTTATATCGGCACAATAATTTTTAACAGATTAGAAGATTTCATTTGATGACATTTAAAACTTAAGTGCTTTTAGCAGCTAAGCTATTGATGAATGAACTTTGTTCTGTTAAACAAATGGTACGCTCTCATTTCCTGGTTGGGTGATTAATTTATCCTCTTAATACAAGCTGAATAAAACAGCTGGTCTTTACATCCATCCATCCATCCATCCATCCATTTTCTGTTCACCCTTCTCCCTATCGGGGTCGGGAGGTGCTGGTGCCTCTCCAGCTGCGTTCCGGGCGAGAGGCGGGGTTCACCCTGGACAGGTCGCCAGTCTGTCGCAGGGCAACACAGAGAGACAAACAGGGCAAACAACCATGCACACACACACCTAGGGAGAATTTGGGAAGGCCAATTAACCTGACAGTCATGTTTTTGGACTGTGAGAGGAAGCTGGAGAACCCGGAGAGAACCCACACCACGCACAGGGAGAACATGCAAACTCCGATCAGAAAGACCCCGGGCCGGGAATCAAACCCAGGCCCAGCGCTACCCACTGCGCCACTGTGCAGCCTCTGGTCTTTACAAATAATTACAATTTTAACTTGCATCATGAACAATCAAAGCAAACAGGCAATTCTGTCTTTTTAATCTGTAGAACATTTTCATTTTAGTATTTATCAATTTTCTTGTTAATGAAAAGAAAGCCATCAAGTAAAATTTATTACAAAACAACACCATTAAAGATCATAACCTGTGGACAACTCTTATTTTTCGTGTAATGTATATTGTTTACTGTGGAGAGCCATTTCTGCCAAAATGAAAGAAACAAATGGACAAAATAAATAAAAATGGGAAAATGAAAAATTGCTGAATGAATCTGGGAATAAATGTACAGAGGAATAAGTATGAATGAGAAGATGCCAATTTTACTCATTGATTTATTTTACCCATTTTTAATTTAATTTTGGCTGAAATGGCTCTCCATAGTTTAAAACAAGTAGAATTGTTTCCATATTTAGAAGCAGCGATGACATGAACATTCCTGCCGCCTTCTGTAAAGGTTAGAATGAGACAGTATGCTGTGTTTCCATTAACCGTAGAATTGTGCAGATTGAAATTACGAAAATAAATTTGCTTCATAGAAACACGCCAATTCAGAAAAAAAATAAACGTGTTTTTTCCAAAGAAGGCGTGCGTGTTAGAATGAGGTCGTTTTTCATCTGCATCAAAATAGATGCATCACAAAAAACTGCATAGGAAGCATTTTTCCCCCATCGCACGAGTCACAGGATCAGCAGCCGGATGTTACTACGAAGATGACAAAAGGTATAGTATTGGCCTTTTTCTGGACAGCGTGCAGCTGGCTCCATCAGAGCTCTCCCAAGTTTCTCACACCTAATAAAAAATTATGTGTTGAATCCTGTAAAATCGCAGACGACAGTCATTTCCCCCAATATGCCGCGAGTCCAATAAATAGCTAGACTCTCCAATACCTGAAAAAGACGTCGATGTCTCCTCTGATTGGCTGATGAGTGCCATGACTGAATTATGAGTATGTTGTGTTCCTGTTTACATTTGTCTCTGCAAATGTTTGTAATGACTTAATTGCATGAGAAAGCTTATTCATGTGATTCTAGTTTAGTTTCTTATTTACTGGAAACACCACAAATGTGAAATTGTGTGTGTTATTTGCCATTAGCAAGATATTGACAAAGATTCATCCATATTTGTAATGCAAATGCAGCGACTGATGCACAAGTTTGTAGTGAGTTTGTTGCAGTGCCACAGTGACCTGGTTTGGATAACAGACGGTTCTGTTTTTACAAATCTGCCATCTTATTTTGCCTTCTTGCTTTAAACATAGTCAAACAAACATAAAAGATTTAACTTTATTGGTATGCTAGAACATAATGAAAACATCCAGCCTGGTGGTGAGCAACGCATTCAATCTCAAGTTGTTTCAAATGGGTTCATGTTTCCATTTGCTCTCAGTCCATCAGCTCAGCCCAAGACAGTCAGATCTTCAATGGCGCCTCAGCATCCTAACTGGTTACAGGAAAGAGAGTTAAAAAATTAACTGCTTCAGGTGTTTTATACAAATAAATACACAAAAATAACACCATTTTATCAGGGGTACTTGGAAATACCTGAGCATGTGAGCAACAAAAACATCTTTAAGTAACACACTAATACTCACAGGTTGCATCCAGCTGCAACCTGAAAAAGAGCGGAAAAAAAATTCAATAAAAAAACACTTGAATTTCTATGCTTTGTTGTTTCAATGTCTGCTTCAACTGTGGTTAAGTTTAGCCCTGCAGGGTCCTGCATGTCTGAGATGTTTTCCTGCTGTAACGTTGCTCAGTCTGTCATCAAGGTCTGCAGAGACCTTTCAGTGAACCAGTCCTTCAATTCTGACGTGTTGAACATGTAAACATTCACTGGATTGCAAAAGTATTCATAGCCCTAGAACTTCTCTAGATTTTCTCACATTATAACCACAAACAATGACACTTACATCTGGAAACACTGAGTTTCCCCTCAATGCATCGAACCACAGCGTGATTTTCAGTCTTCCATTTATCAACACATTTCGATTTGACTGTTTCTCCATTCATGATAAATACATCGCCAGTATTTATTAGGTCAGGATACTCTGTAGTGTTCAGATGACAGAAGTTCTCTGCAAAAAAGAAGAAAACATTTTTCTTTATGTCTATTTTTTTAATAAAACAGTTTCAGTGTTATTTTCCTTTTACCTTTACATTTGGGGACTTTGGACCAAATGCCACCTCTGTAACACACCACTGTCTCAAGACCCACCATTTTGTAAAACCTCTGACACTCGTATTTCAAATTCTGTTGAGTCTGTTCCACAACAACTCCGTTTTGAACATGAGGGATGTCTCCACAATTATCGACTGAAAAGGAAGAATAGAGTTTCATAAAACTGTTAAAGTCGACTTCCTTAGATCAACACTTCATCTCTCTGTCTGACTCAGCTTTGCATGTTGCACGCTCATAATGCCTGAATTACTTAGATGATTGTTTTGATTACATTCTAGATAAATACATTCAATATAAATGAAGAAAACAATGTGCTTATTTACTGGATACGAAAGTAGTCTGAGTGTCTGGGGATCCTGGGCCGGCAGCTCGAGCTGAAACAAACAGAGCATTGGATTACTTTGGGGGGTTGCAAAATGAATCTAGTAGCAATAATATTATTACTCAAGTAAAAGAAAAAGGTACAGTTTAGTAAAACTACTCTTAAAAGTACTCCAATGCCCGCCCACGCCGATAATGAATAGTTTTGGCAACATGGAGCGTCTCAACACAATGACCACTTACTGCAACGTGGAGTTCTGACCCATTTTCCAGCCTCGCAGTTGGCAGTTGTTTTGAACTCGCTGTCTTCTGTGAGAAATCCATCTCTGCACTGATACTCCACCGTGGAAAACTCATCAAACATCTCCTGGTGCGTCCGAGTCACGACCGCATTGGTGACAGCTGGAGGTTGGCCGCATGCACTGCGGTGCTCTGGGCGTAAACCGAGACGATCAGTCGAGACGGAAAAAAGCGGGTTTATATATATATATATATATATATATATATATATATATATATATATATATATATATATATATATATATATATATTAGTCAACAGGTCCAGGACTTACTCTGACACAGCGGCATCGCGGACCACGTCCCATTGAGACATTCCATGATGTTCTCCTGGCCGTTTAGCGAATATCCCGCCTTGCAGCTCACCTCCAACGAGCCGTTTGGGTTTGGGTTCAATTGTCCGTTTGGAATAACCGGAGGAAGGCAGGCCGTCTCCACTGGGAAACAGAACAAATACACTCATACACGCTTCTTCTTTTGTTTTTGTTTTTAAACACAACTAAGAAGAAGAGTCATTCATGATTTTGGGGGAAAAAAAAACCTAAATCCTCACCAACACACTTCGGTTTGTCGGACCAGTCGCCATCTTGACACACGATTGTCGCCCACCATCCCTCCACTGTGGTTTTGTATCCCGCGTCGCAGCTGTACGTCACCTGTGAGTCGTGGGGATAAGACTCGCGCACCGGGAGGAAATAACCGTGAGTCAGGGTGGGAGCGCCGCACAGGTCCCGGCCACTCGCAGCTGAAACAGACAGAAACGTCGTCGGAGGTGACGTCAGCAGCAGTAGCAGCTTCTTCTTCTCCGATACGCGGACGTCTCTTACCAGCCAGCGCAGCAGGAACCCAGAGCAGGAGAGCAAACCTCAGGCCCGTCAGCCACATTGTTGTCAGGAGTCAAAATCACAGCCTCACGCTGCGGAGTCAGGAGCCTCGTTAAGTTCAGATGCCTGTTAATAATTAAGGCATTCCCCGCAGAGAGATAAGAAGTGACGAAAAAAGTCAACATTGGATCGAGCTGCTGCTGCTCGATCTGCTGTCGGTCCAAATTGTGCAAGTTGGGACATTTTGGTGGTGATGACGTAAGAGGAAGGGAACATACACTCAAATTATGCTCAGGTTTTGCCAGTTCGCCACATGATTTCTATGATGACAATAAAGATGGTTATTATTATTATTATTATTATTATTATTACAGTGATTCTTGAGAAGAGGACACAAAACAGGTCATATGGATAAAGCACAAAATTTGAATAAAATATACACAAAATATAGTTTTTTCCAAATGTCTGACTAAACTAACCTGGGCTATGTGAGCACAACAATGTGTGTTTTCATGGTGTTTGCTGAATATTGTGTAGTAGGTGGATGGTGTCTGTCCTGGAGCAGAACTCAATACATTCTTACAGTTTAAAACAAATAAAGGAATGCTAAGCTAATATATTATGACAATTAAGTATAAGTATTCAAATAAATAATTATAAAAGTATCAATAGATGTAATTAAAAATCATTTTGATATAATTTACAACTCAATTGAAATCAATTAAAGTTTGTCAACACTGTCAAATATAAAAAGTATGTAAAAAAAAAACAAAACAAAAAATCAGGCATCATTGGGGGAACTTCTGAGGACCCCAGGGTTAAGAAGGCTAAGCAGCTCAGGTTAGCTTATGTTATTTTTTAGTTTTTTCTTCTGTTTTATTCCTAAGTTCCTCGTCACAGCCATGATGCGTCAACGCCAGAACTGACCAGAAATAAATGCTTCATTTTAGTAAACGGTAAAGATTTCACGGACCTGGTGAGCTACAATATGGCCGCCTTCAGATTAAGGTCACATAAATTGAGGTCGTTTGGCATTTCGTCAACTCCGCCAAGGCTTTTACCAGGAAGTCTGACTGTTTCAGTGATAGTGTTGACAAATCTCTTTTATATAATTCATTGGAATATATTTTACATAAATGTCATTACTTCACATGTATCCAGTATATGTTTTGAACTCACTAGTTTTTTACCACTTTTAGTCCATCAACTCCATCAGATAGACTTTATGTTGTTTTTTTGATTTAAATATTTTGTTTCTTGAGAAGCATTTGTCTCTAAAACTGAGTAAAACTGTCACTAACAGGGTCATTAAAAAATAAAGTTATGTTTATTTATGTCAGATGGAGCAACCGGGAGCCTGAACTTCAGCACCTTTACGTTTCCAAAATATTATTTGTCATATTTGTATACATAAGCTTGAGGAATAATCATTTTTATAGATTTATTTTTTTTAATTTAAACCTATTTTGTCCCACTTCTCAAGAATCACTGATTATTATTACAAGTTTTCTACCCTGTCTGTTGGAGACAATAAAAACCCCATGAAGTAGTAACATTTGGAAAACAATGTGTTAAAATAAATAATAATAATAATAAAAAAAATATGTTTACTATCCAGGTTTGACAGTCATTTCCCAGCTCGGTGTGATAAGATACCAGCTTTATGAAACACCAGAGCATAATGTCAATAAACTGCCTCAGAGGAGATTCATCTTTGAGTATGGACTCCTTTGCATGATTTCAATTTTTAATGATAATGGTTTATCCATGAAAACAACCTATGAAACGTAAAATGTACAAGCGGCTGTTTTCACCGATTCTTTTTACTCACAGCCACTTCACATGAAATTGACAGTTTTAAATCGTTTTATAGTTTTTCAGATATTTCCTGTCACAAGTTTATGGTTCATCACTTCTACATATACAAATATCCTTTGCATTTTATGGAGACACTGTTTCTGCTACAAGAGCAGATTAATTAAGCTAAACATTTTCTGACCACTTGGGGGCGCCAACAGGCTGAACAGGAAGCTGACCTTTTAGAAATCTCCACAGTACTATTAGTGATTAGCATCCATCCATCCATCCATCCATCCATCCATCCATCCATCCATCCATCCATCCATCCATCCATCCATCCATCCATCCATCCATCCATCCATCCATCCATCCATCCATCCATAAATTTTATAAAAACTAAACAGTCCACAGTATTATCACTATACTGTTTTTACACATAAAATACATATTTCTCAAATAAAGGGAATTGTTACAACTAATCATGGATCCCCATGATTCCACTAAAACACGATGAAAAGAGAACACAAAAGAGATGTTTTTAGACTTTATTGCCGAACATAGTGCTGGATGTTTGAGCTGCTGTTTTTACTCAAGAGGGCGAATCTTCATGCTGATGGCCTTGAGAGAATACATGCTGCCCTTCCAGCTGTTCCAGATTACTCCAACCTCATATCTGGTCCCCTCACTGCCCCAGGTGTAGACTCCGTTTGGGTTTCCGTACTGGCATGCCGGGCCGAACCAGAAAGCTCCCAGAAAATGTTCTGGACAGTTTTCTGTCCCAATGTGTTGATAATGGTCAAAAGTAGCAAATTTATGAAGATGGAGATATGTCATAGTGTCTCCTGCAAGAAGATATGGAATTTAGAGATGAAAACATTGTTTATCTGGGGGTTTCATAACCTTCACCTGTCTGAATACACAGAAAAGGAGACTGCTTACCTGGAACACCAAGACAAGAAAGCAACAACAAATCAGTCAAGCTTTATTAGCAGTATGCAGTCCCTATCGTCATTGCATAAAAACATCAAATCTAACAGGATAATAGAAAACATGCAAATGAAAATAAAATCATTAAAGAAGCCTTTTAATAGCTACACATATAACTGTATATAAAGCTGATGGAGCGGATGCTGAAGCACACAGTGTGAAGAGCTTGCCAACTATAAACTTCACATGTCCTTCACATGAAGTTTGGAACCAGTTATGTAGGTTTTCCTGAGCTTTCTTTGTTGCCGTGTTGCTTCTCCTCACTGTTACATTTTTGTGACTTGCTGACTCACACCTGGTTCTGAAACCCACCTGCTCCTCCACCGATGTAACTGGGCAAATACAGAGGATATCCGTCCAACTCGTGACCCACATTGAACGGGCTGTAATGAGCGTACGCCGTGTTTCCTTCAAAGTCCTCCATGTCCACCATCAGCTCGAAGTTTTTCTGACGGCCTAAGTTGTAGAGTATATCCAGACCTGGAAGAAGAGTTATAGAGTTCTGTTTTTGTGCTTTTTAACACGGTTCAGTGTTGTTACTGTCTATGAGCTCATGTGAGAACAGGTTGTCTCACATTCAATTTTAATTTAAAATATAACTAATTCTTTTTTTATATAGTTTATTGGTTCTAGTGGCCTTTATCTGACAGTAAATTGACAGTAAAGTGGGCAATGAGAGCTGGGGAAGACATGCGACTAAAGCCCTCAGGCTGGGACTTGAACCCAGTTAGGGTCTGCAGTCAGCGTCTCCAGTTTGGTTCTCACCAAGCCAGTACTCTCCAGCAGGATTCCCAAAGCCTGTCTTGTAGTCACTCCATTTCCTGTAGAAGTTTACAGAGCCGTCCATCCTTCTCTGGAACACCTGGTGGGAAGAAAAGGTGATAAACCAACAGATTTCTGAAGCAGTCTTCAAGGTCCAGGAGTTTGCGTTCACCACATGTCATGCACTGGCTGCTCAGCTCTTTCTGCTTAACGACATTGTCTGGCAGTTTGTGCAGGAACCCCAAAATGATGCAGCCGATTGCTTCTGTGGCAGCTCACGGGGCGCCTACACGTAATATGTTAATTTATAAATAAAAAAAATTTTGTTTTGACTTGTCACATTAATGCTTGAGATATCTTGAATTGGAATTACAGATGTGTGACTCTTCAAGCGATAAACTCAGCAACATCGATTGAGAAGTCTTGAAAAGAATTTTGAACCTTCACAATGCAACACATTGATTATGCAGTGAACTCAAGTTTTAATTTTAAACTACATTCCCCTCTATTTGGACTAGAATAAGTAGATTATAAATTAATAACTTACATGGTGCATTTTTGTTTGGTTTTCTCTGAACTGTGTTGAAGGTAGGGGTGTACTGTTTGTCTTTTATTGTGATGAATTTCTTATCTGACATTGAATTATTGTTGTCAGAATCAGTTCCAATCATTGTGTTTAAAATGCCCCAAAACTGCCCTTATTGTTGGGATTATTATTTTTACTATTTTGCTCCATTGTTGGTTCAATGAAGGTGCATCACTTCATATCAATACTTTTGAAAATCTGATCATATGCAGTTATTGTGTGGATTTGAGTGATATAAATCTTCTTTACGTGACTGACGTCCCAAAGAAACACATTACAAATATTACAAATGTTTTTCGAGTGGAGCCGTTATTGCTGCGTTATGCAGTCACAGTTATACAGTTACCTAAAAAACTGTATAACTATGAAGTGATAAATAGTTCACATTGTGACTTTTATCGTTTTCAAAAGAGTACCAAAAAAATCTGGATATAACTTTGCGTCTTTGCCGCGTGAACATGAATCTTATGGCCCAAATTCACTCTCATTATTAATGAAAATAACAAAAGGTCACATGAAGAACATGGTGAACATTTATACGATCGATAAGCCAGAGCGTGATCTGAGTCCAGATACTCACGGTCCATTTTCCTCCATGTGAGTCCATGTCACAGTAAACCTGCAGACACACAAACTGAAATCTCAGCCTGACTGGTTCATGCTGGTCTGGCGTCTGTCTGTCATTTGGACTGTTTGATGGACGGGAAGCTGATCAACATGAACAGCTTTTGGGAATCATAAGAAACCTTAATATGGTGAGTTTATAATTCCAACAGGTGTGAAAGTACCTGGACACCAGATGTGGATCCGATGGGATAGATGGTGTAAACTCCACTGGGACTGCTGGGATTCTGACGAGAAATGTCGCTGCAGTCCAAAATCTGACTGCTGGCCAACAGAGGAACCAGCAGGAGGAGAAGAGCCGACAGCAGCTGCAGCAGAGGAAAACGTTACGTCGCATCATGAAGCTCCAAAGTAAAGCGGAGAACGTTTCCTCGGAGAACCTGGTGTCTCCAGAGAATGTCTCAGCTACCAAGGAACATGCAGAGTTGAATGTGCTGAGCTCACCTTCATAGCCAGAGTGGTGCTGCTGCTGGGATGTAAACTGTGATGAAGTTTTTCTGAGTTCTGCTGCAGGAATCTAACGACAGTCTGGGGGTTCTCACCTGCTTTTATCACCGACAGATTAAAATGACCGAGCAGCTGCTGCTGCTGCTGCACACCGATAACGCTTCAGACCAGACGGGTGGAAACATGAGTCCTGCACAGCTGTGAGCCTGAGGCTCAGGGTAAATGATGACTGAAATCTGAAAAAAATAAATAAAACTCCACCTGATCGATGGATCGAAGCCATTCAAAAATTGTCTGCTTCCTGTGTGCACGTGAGCTGTCAGCATGCACACGCAAAAAATATTTCATGCCACATATTTCTGTGGTTTTTTGATATATTGTCCTGAAGTTTCATGACTGTAATCTTTCTTTTACCAAGCCTTGTATTCTAGAGATTTCGTACTTTTATTTGTTGCTTTTTAAGCCCTTTGCAGGCTTACTTTACTCCTGGTAGCTGCAGGTAAGAGGATGTATCGAGATTAAACCTCCTCAGATTACAATCATAACAATAATGAACAATTATTCACTTTTTCATTTGATGTGGCAGGGTCGCATCACATGGATCCCACATGTTTTCTTTTGTTTTTACAGGTTTATTTTTTGTGTGAGTGGTTTCGGGAATTGACTCACTGACGGTACAAACCCGTCTCTTCCCCGCTGTCTGACCGTGACACTCGCCACGCTCCTCCTGAGTGACAGCTAAGACCGTGGGAGGGTAATTGACTTACTGAATATGTTTTTGGGTTATTTATAGCTCTGCAGCTTGGTTCAACATCTGTCCCATATCTCATACCTTAAGGGGTGGAAGGTTCAATTCCATTCTCATTGGCTGATCCTCCCATCAGTATCTATGTGTGTCGTGAAAACAGGTGCAGACAGAGATTCAGAAATGTCTGCGTCTCTGCAGGGTATCAGGCCCAAGGCATAAGCAATCTAAGCAGCTGCATACGGCTGCTAAGTGGAACTGCTTTTTAAAGTAATAATTTCTATGTGATTATATTAACAAAAACACACAATGTCATCAGTTGTGATTTTTTTGACAATAATATATGTCTGAATTTATTAATAATATATGTGCAGTGGCCCACCCAAACCTCCGAAAACAAAACAATGTCACAAAAAAGGATTATTCGTCAGGCACGGCGAAAAGAAAGAGGAAAAATAGAAAAAAAAAGTCAAGATAAAGGAATGTTTTCATGTCTCTTGGTAACGATTTGTGGAGCTGCTAATAGAAAAGTAGCTTAATGGCGGCCTTGAAAGGTGAAGCTCAACTGTCAAACACTTATACCCACGTCTTTGTATTTGTGTGAAACTGAGTTTTAACTTTAAATGGGTTAATTCTCTGTGGGGCAGAAGGGGCAGTGCATGCTATTGGATGCCTGTGACTTGGTGTGTCGCATAGTTTTTAAATCATCCTGCACTGTGTGTGTGTTGCTCAGGCATAGTGGACGTCTACAGAAGGCCCTGACTGGCACGCCACTGGATGACAGGAATGAAAACTTCTCAGTGTTCGGCATTTTCTAGCAAAATGGTTTTACATCAGGCTACATGGCTGCTACATTAATATAGCAATGAGCCACAATGAGCTGCAGTTGCGCTATGTTTACATCAACGTCTAAGTTATGAAACTTCTTCAAGAACACTTTCTCATGTGAGAAAGACTCACCTAGTATAAATGACATTTTTAGCTATTGGAGTTACTGACTAGAAATCACTTTAATCAAAGCATGTCATGAGAAACACACATATCTGTTGGTGTGGCATGTTTTCCAGTGACATATTGGATGAACAAACTTATTTACATGTGATTTTGATTGCTTTACTTTAACATAAACGCTGCAATTGCAAAATTGCGTTTTATTTTTTTTCATTAGTTGAGTATCAAAAATGTTTTGTGCACATTTGTAATGAAAACGGAGCCACTGGCAGGAGTGCAAAGAAATGGCGCGAGGCGCTCCGCCAGCTTGTCCACCTTGCTGCTGTCCAGTTCACTGCTTCGTCCCACTGGCACAAAGTGTTGGCCATGTGACGTCCAAGGAGCTGTGCGTCCGGCTCACCGGACTCCAACCCGCTCACCTGACTTTTCTGACCCTTCTTCAAAACAGCTCTGCTAATTTTAATGGCATCTCTAACTATGGATGTCATCAGCTTATTAAGTTGATCCAGTCTTAGTGAAAACGGAGCTGTCATATGCTGACAAATAACTTTCAGAAGTCAGTCAGGAGCAGCATTTCATTTTTGAAATATTATAAATGAGACAATAAATAGTTCGGTAGAAAAACAAAACAGATTTATACTTTATTGTCCATGATAGGTAAAGTTGATTTTTCACTTCGCTGCTGAGGTGAATGTGTGTCAATCACATCTGCAAACTGACTTGGAGCCGCTGTGTTTTTCTACACTGGAAGTCAGTTTTTATAAAAATGCAGAGGAATCAGTGGAAAATACTTGCTTATGAAAAATTGTTTTATTTCAGTAGTATAACTATTAGGTACAGAACTGAATAGTGACATTCCTTTCACTAAGGAGATTTGTAATCTCTGACTGAGTAGTTCTATTAAAGAAGTGAGTTAGAGCTTTTAAAACATGATCTGAGATTTATTCATGTTGCGCAAAAGAAAGAGTGGTACTAAAAGTCATTACTATTAATATTGTCTGAGGTTTTTATACTTTCTGTGCTGTGTTTTTGTCCAGTAGAGGTTTTTAAATGAGAAGGTAAACATCTTAAGGGAAGTTGGACACAAAGAGAACACACAAGAGATGATCTGTTCAGTGTTTATTGCCAAATATTTGTGTTGGACACGGCAGCTTCCTGCTGGAGTTTTCAGCTGCTGATTTATGAAACGGGGCGGATCTTCATGCTGATGGCCTTCAGGGAATAGGTGTGCTGATTCTGCGAGGCCTTCCAGTGGTACCAGATTACTCCAAACTCATATTTTGATCCATTAGCGCCCCAGATGTAGACCCCGTTTGGTTTCCGTAGTAGCACCTCCAGTACCAGAAAGCTCCCAGAAATAACTTTGCACAGTTTTCCGGCCCGGCGTGCTGATAACGGTCAAAAGTCTGCCACTGATTTCCACCTAAAGATGCCAGAACGTTTCCTGCAGAAAAATATTTAAATCAGAGAAATGTTGTTTTTTATCTAGAGGTTTTAATAACTTTTATCTACTTGACTATACTGGAAACTTTTTATTTAAGTCAAAAGTAAAACACAGCTCAACCTAAATAGTATAATCTTGCAGCTCTGAAGTTGCAGTGAAGATGAAGATGATAGTCATGTAGGTTTTCCAGAGCTCTCTCTGAGGTGCTTCTCCTCACCGTTAGATGTTTGTCACTTGCTGACTGACAGCTGGTTCTGAAACCCACCTGCTCCTCCATCGACGAAACCATCCACTTGCAGACGATACCCATCGGACTCGGGACCCACACTGAACGAGGCGTAACGACCGTACACCTTGTTCCCTTCAAAGTCCTCCATGTCCACTACCATCTCATACTGTGTCTGCTGAGTGAGGGCGTAGATGTTCTCCAGACCTGGAAGAAGAGTTACAAAGTTTTTCAAGTCATTGTTGTTCTTTTTATGAGAAGCACAACATCATGTCTTATATTGTTCTAATTTAACACATAAATGAGACGTTTTTATGCCTCCCTGCCCCTAGAAGTCATTGGATTATTTTTTTATTTACTGAGACAGAATTAGATTCTTCTGACTGACATGAAAAACTTTTACTGTGGGGATCTGTTAGACGCTGCAGTGTGCTTTCCCGTTCACAGTCAAGTTGGTGTTTCCAATTCGGGTCTCACCAAGCCAGTACTCTCCATTTGCGTTACCGAAGCCCAACTTGCAGTCATTCCAGTTCCTGTAGAAGTTTACCGTCCCGTCCATCCTTCTCTGGAAGACCTGGGGGGAAGAAAAGGTGATGAACCATCTGAACCCAGCTCAGGTTTATCAGTGAGATTTGATGGAGAGGATTCTGGGCTGCTACATCATCTCAGTTTGAAACATCAAATTTTAACTTGATTCCTCTCCAAGTTCCCATTTTGTCAAAATATTCTTGGGAAAGTTTCCCCCAAGGTGACTGAAAACCTGTTTGGATGCAAGTGCAGGACTAGAGGTTTTAAATGACTTCAGGGCACATAATCTACACTCCTAACAGCTTTGAAATCACATTTATATCATCCTTTTAACTGATACAGTCATTATCTATGTACCCCACTGGGAGCATCATTAACACTGCAGTGGTTCAGATCATAACAGGAATCCCACAGGGCTTGATTCTTGGACCTGTGCTGTTTTCTTTGTATTTCCTGCCTCTTATATTCCTAGGAAGCACAGCATTGCTTTCTATCGCTATACCAAAGAAAAACAGATTTTGGATGATTAAAACTTAAGGATCATTATTCTGTAAGCACCAAATGTATTATTTTTTTTTTGGAAGGTCACCAACATGAAGAACATGGCGAACATTTATACGATCGATAAGCCAGAGCGTGATCTGAGTCCAGATACTCACGGTCCATTTTCCTCCATGTGAGTCCATGTCACAGTAAACCTGCAGACACACAAACTGAAATCTCAGCCTGACTGGTTCATGCTGGTCTGGCGTCTGTCTGTCATTTGGACTGTTTGATGGACGGGAAGCTGATCAACATGAACAGCTTTCTGGGAATAATAAGAAACCTTAATATGGTGAGTTTATAATTTGAACAGGTGTGAAAGTACCTGGACACCAGATGTGGGTCCGGTGGGATAGATGGTGTAAACTCCACTGGGACTGCTGGGATTCTGACGAGAAAAGACGCTGCAGTCCTGTTGACTGCTGGCCAACAGAGGAACCAGCAGGAGGAGAAGAGCCGACAGCAGCTGCAGCAGAGGAAAACGTTACGTCGCATCATGAAGCTCCAAAGTAAAAAAGAGAACGTTTCCTCGGAGAACCTGGTGTCTCCAGAGAATGTCTCAGCTACCAAGGAACATGCAGAGTTGAACGTGCTGAGCTCACCTTCATAGCCAGAGTGGTGCTGCTGCTGGGATGTAAACTGTGATGAAGTTTTTCTGAGTTCTGCTGCAGGAATCTAACGACAGTCTGGGGGTTCTCACCTGCTTTTATCACCGACAGATTAAAATGAC